ACAGAATATCTAAACAAAATTTAAACATCTTTTTTAAAAAAAATATTTATTTTTGTTTTTGTTTTGTTTTAGGTGGACACAATATCTTCATTTTATTTTTATGTGGTGCTGAGAATCGAACCCAGTGCCTCAGGCATGCTAGGCGAGCATGCTACCACTTGAGCCACATCCCCAGCCTGAAACATTTTATAAAAAACAAATTCTAACATGTTGGAATGCCAAGAAATCTCAGAAATAGATTCTCCCTTCATTTAAAGAAGAAAAAACTGAGGCCATACCCACAGTGACAGACTGAGTGGTAAAGCCAGGACTGAAATGAGTTTGAGGCCTTGGGGTTTAACTTGGTGCTTGGGTGTTTGCCTAGCACATACAAGGACCCAGGTTCAATCTTCAACACCACAAAAGGAAAATTTTTTGCATAAGTAGTGCAGATTCATGTGCAACCCTCCCTTACCATCACCCAACTCTTCCAGTCCCTGGGTGAGTGGTGTCTCAGGCACTATAGTTTGAGTCCAGAGTTCACTCTTGACCTTGCCAATTTTAGAGAATCCAAGAAATGACTATGTTGCAGAATGAGGCCATTCATGGAGCCAAAGTGACAGGTGTGGGGAGGCTGACATAGTACATGACCAGCATTTGTCTCCCCTTCTGATTGGTGTGGCATTGTCGGTCACCCTGTGATCTGGTTGCCTATGTAAAACAGACAATAGCCCCGATTTTTAGGGTCAAAAAAATGCAATGGTCTTCGTGCATGGGCGTGCCTTCCTACATCCCCATGGGTCCAGCTACTCTCACCTGTTCCTTTGGATATTTCCCCAGCCCTGTTTGGGATAGAATGTTCCATGGAAACGCCCTTTGTATGTCCCCTTCTCTTACTCTGCCCTTGTGTGTGGCCTACCTAGAAGTCAGTCATCCTGCTGATAGCAGACATCATGAAGCTAGACTCAGCCCCCTGAAACCTGACCCCTTGCCTTATTTGAATGGCTTCTCCTCAATAAAAGGGGTCAGCACTTGCTCTGGCTTGCTCTGGCTCTCACTGTCTCGGCTCTCTCTCTCTCTCTCTTTCTGTGGATCCTTAAGATCAGAGGAGCCGTCACAGCACCCCCAAATAAAAAGGTATTTCTGTTTCTTGTGTGGTTATGTCGCGTAGCCCAGTTCTCCTGAAGTGACCCTTGAGTGTTTAAATCGCTGGGAACGGGACAGACAGGGAACGTCCTCTCTCATGGATTCTTGCAATCATGCTGGAAAGATTTCAGAAACACCTTGCAACTTGGGTAGCAAGCATGAGCTTATTAGGAGAGAGGGGAAAAGGAGACACTCTCAAACGAGAGGGACAGCATGCCCGTCCTGCTCTCTTGATGTATTGGGGGTTCCAAGGAATCTTCCTGAGAGTCCACCTCATGTCCACTTCTTTTTTTTAAAAAAAAGAGAGTGAGAGACAGTGAGAGAGAGGGAGGGAGAGAGAGAATTTTTTTTTAATATTTATTTTTTAGTATTTGGCGGACACAACATATTTATTTGTATGTGGTGCTGAGGATCGAACCCGGGCCGCGCGCATGCCAGACGAGCGCACTACCGCTTGAGCCACATCCCCAGCCCCACATGTCCACTTCTTAACTTGTGACCCACAGCAGGTTTGTGTTAAACTTCCAAGTCTCCACTGTGCATGATTCCTATTATGACATGCTAAATATCCAAGGCAACTCCAGATCACTTTGGCCCACTGAGTAGTTCTAACTGGAACTTTTTTATGGTTGGTTAGGGGGTGCTTTTAATTGTTTTCTCTATCCTCAGTTCTGTAATTTGACCAGTCTAAAGATCACAAAAAGAGTTGGGGTTGTAGTTAAGTAAGTGGTAAACCACTTACCTTGCAAATGTGAGGCACTGCTCACCAGCACCATGTAAAACTAAATAAACAAAATAAAGGTATTGTATCCATCTACAACTAAAAATATATGTTTAAAAAAAAATCACAAAAGCCACCCCTGCTTTAGGGTAACTTGCATTCTTACCAGCTTTGGGGCCAGCACTTCTCCTGTAAATAACAGGTTGTTTATTGAGGCATATAGCATATCCTATTGACTGAATCCAAGCAGGTAAACTGTTTTTTAAAATAATTTACCTGGGCTGGGGATATAGCTCAGCTGGTAAAGTGTTTGCCTTGCATGCACAAGGCCCCGGGTTCAATCCCAGAAAGAAAGGAAGGAAGAAAGAAAAGTAAAGTTTAAATTCTTTAAAATAAATAAATAAATAAGATCATGGGGAGGACAGCATAGTAGGTATAGTTTATAGAATTTATCCCCTTACCTTCATGTTCCCATCGCTCATGGCTGTTCCCTATCATACATGATAACTAAGCACCCTGGGCACTCCAAGTTTCTATTACTTAAAATGAAGCACTAAAGTCACAAAACAATAGATTCAACACTACACTATTTTATGTAATAAAAATAAGTTTCTACCAGTAAAGAAAAAAATATATATAGAATACAAAATATTTAACATTTACAATGTTACTATTAGGTTGTCATATTATTTTTTTTTTCCTACTGGTTCATCTGTGTTTCCTAATTTTTTCTCCAGTAATCATAAGGACTTAACATATTTTCAAAGACAAAAATAATTAATATAAGCATTATATCTTATTAAACATAGTGTCATATCACAGTCTAAGATGTGCTGGTACCAGTCCCTGAGGCAATTCCTAGGGCTTGGGGTATAGCTCTAAGGTTTTTTTTATTGGAAGCCCATTTCCTCTCACAGGCTCTGGCAGAGTCTTGTTTCTGGCATTACCGGCTGAGAAAAAAGATGATGAGCTTATTTTCATCATGAATTAGCCAGAGAAGCACTTAAACTTCAACTTTCCACTTTTAAATGGACTTTCTATCCGGAACAGGCAAACAAGACTTCCATTTACGGGCTGTGTGGTTTCTTTAAAGAAGAAAGGTTTCCACCTATGGCCACAGATCTCTCACCAAGGGGCAAGGCAATATATTGTTGGAGAAACTAATTTTACTCATGAAGGTCATTTCCTTAATCCCTGGGACCATCACTGACTGGCCTTTCTAGGATACAATTATATGCAAAAACTCTAGCAGGAACTCTAAGGTGTCATCCAGTTCCTGGGACATGCCCTTGAATGTGCAAGCAAAACTGTACCTTTGTCATCCACTGCTTGGACAATAAAAATGTTGCATACCACAGCTCTCCCACTGGCAGAGAATTCTGGGGGAGCCACTGCCTCTTGGCCAGCTTCCCTGGCAGTCATCCCAAGCCCTTGTTGTAATAACCTGTTTTAGTCACTTGGTGCCACTTCTTTCTAAGCTGTCTTGCACACTAAATACTGAAGAGGCTCAAATGGATTTCTAACAGATCTGTCTTTTTTACCATCTCTATTTTATAAGAGAAATCAATTTTGAAAACCAATTAATCTCACTGTTAACAATTATTAAATATATCTTAATGTCCTACAAATATATCCTACAATATCAACAAAGCACCTGTCCAGTTTCCAGGTGTCTACTGCAAATCAAATCTTTGCAAATTTGCCTCAAGCCTGCTAGTGTCTTTTTCTCAACAATTTTCACCCTACCTTAGTATAGGAAAGACAAAACTCTTCATGGTAAAAAAAAAAAAAAAAAACTGGCAACAGAGGGCTGTCCAAGATTATGATGCACTCATGACACTGAAAACCAGGAAGTAAGCATTTACTGACTTGGAAAACTGTTTCCAAGTGAAAAAGTTACAATTGTTTATGAATGAAACAGAAAAGCCACAAAATTGTGCAACATACTTTTAAAAATAATGTGTATGTATACTTAGAGATAGGACAAAATCTGGAAGAGCATAAAACTACATTTAACATGGTTAAGAATTAGTGAGGGCTATCAATAACTTTCTTTAATGATTTTGTATTTTTCTAATTGCAAGTTAATTTTTTGCAAAATATAAAAAGTAACAATTACTAAAACAATCTATGTGAATCCAAGAAAATTTTTCTTTTTTTTAAATTTATTTTTTAGTTGTAGTCGGACACAATACCTTTATTTTATTTATTTTTTATGGGGTGCTGAGGACTGAACCAGGGCTTCACATGTGCTAGGCGAGCACTCTACCACTGAGCCACAACCCCAGCACCCCCACCCCCGCCAAGCAAAATTTTTCAAAAATTTTTCAATTTTTTTGTGGGAACTTCAAAGACGAAGCCTTCTCCCAGGAATCCATCTCTGAGCTTGGGACCAGTCCTGCTCTAATCAGGAAACAAAATGATTTTCTCCTAATCACCCTTGCCAAGAAAAGCCCCACAATTCCCTGCTGATTACTGACCTCACCCCCTTCCAATCCATAAAACTACCAGGCCTGGTTCCAGTACCCTTTTCTCCCACTCGCTGCTGCAGAAAAACAAAAAGAGTGGAGAGTGGGGGAGGGGGGTCAGAAAGAAAGCACAGACCTGCAGCCATCACTCAAGAAGAGCCCGGCTAAAACCCAGGCGGAAAATTCCACCATGATCTCCGCCACAGGTTCTGCAGGGAACATGGGAACCCTGCAAGGCGCCGGCTCCTAGCGGAAAGGTCTCACGATCTCCGCCCAAGGCTAACAAGTCCCAGGCCTCCAGTGCCCCGACGTCCAAGGATTCCAGGCGACCGCCGGAATCTGCTCATCCCCAGCTGTGCTGAGGGCGGGGGACGGTTCGCCGCAGGCAGACCCCCGCCCAAAGCCATCCACCGTGAGAGGCGAGGGCGCGGATCAGCGAAGGGCTGCGGGAGATGGGTGCACCGGAGCTGGGGTTAACAGAAAAGTGGTCGCCCTCCCTAGACCAATATCGATACCGACGCCTACACGCGTCTTCAGAGAAGGACGCCAGCAAGGGGATGCCCTTTGGGGTGAGGGGGAGCCAGCAGCGCGGCAGGGAGCACAGCCAGGCAGTCGCGACCCCGCCCCACCTACGCGACCCGGGCAGGAGGTCTCGGCCTCCGAGCCGAGAGGGGGAGCCCCCTCACCTTGGGGTCACGCTCGTAATAGTGCTGCTGTGTACGGATCCAGCGGCCGACCAGGTGGTCGCGCACGGTGTGGGCTAGCGCGAAGAAGTAGTCGCGAGGCGTGGCCACGTTGCGGTCCTTGACCAGAGTGAAGTGCAGATGCCGGTTGAAGCTCTTCCGCACCTCCGCCACGTCGCCCAACCCCGCCAGGCCGCGCACACTGATCTGCTTCCGCCTCTCGCTGTCGGTCAGTGGCTTCGCCATCGCGCCGGCCGAAGAGGAGGTGGAAGAGAAGACCAGAGAGGAGAAGCTGACACCAAAGATGCTGCAGCGGCTCTGGCGCCAAGCACTGCGGCTTTGGCTGGCTGGCAGGGGCCGCGCCTGCGCGCCGCGTGGGGGGCGGG